TCCAAGGCTTACGACAAAGAAAACAGACACGCATGGAAACGGAGATCCATGGAAAGTCTTTTGGCCGCAAGACCGAAATACGGATACGACGTAAGCCAAGTATTTTGATCCTACACCTTAGAAAACCGTTTGTACAAGAAGTGGTTTAGTTTTGCGCTGTTTTATTATCATGCGAATGGATCTATATTACATACGTGAATCAAAGGTGAAACACGTTGGTTAAATCCAAACTGGATAACCGCTGCGAATAAAAATCGCAGAGTGAGTAGTGACAATAGATATGTTCTGTGAACATTTGTCTTGTTTATTTAATAAAAATAGTTTATTTCTGTAGATTAGATGCGATGCGGATAGTGTAGTGAAACGGCCAGATAGGGCAAAGGCGGTATGGGTAGTGTGAGAGATTGAGATTCGTTTCCAATAGGTCTAGTAGGTCATATCCACGATTTCTCGTAGAACGCTTCATCTCGATTTCCGACTTGGAGTATATTATAGTCGGCGAAGACGATCGAGGTCGATCGTGTTTGGAAGACGACAGTTTGACGTGTTTCAAAATAGCCGTTGTGTTGTATTTAAAATACTTATGGAACGTTTTGTACGATAACCTTAAGAATAATACATTTTAATTAGCTCTTGCCGGATGAAGAAAATTAAGAAATTAATATAATTCCGTCAGATTAGCTACGGGTTACAAAACATTCGTTCTCTGAGAACACTCTGACCTTTAAGTTGTGGTTGCTGATTGTTACGAGTTACAACTGACGTCACCTATGTACTAATTTAAGTGCACTTTAATGATGCGACAAACATTTCGCTCGTTTTTCGCTATCCCACTGTTATTATGTAAAACAAAAAAAAACTACATCCTCCGAACGCACCTCTTCATGTTTGCCTAACAATATATGTATAATTCTACTGTAAAATATAAATCACGTCGTGCATAGTTACTCAAAGTTTGCGTAAAGACACTTTTAATATCATTGTTGTTGTGCATTATATTATGCTGCACGAAGTTATTTGATTTACTTACATTTTTATGCATACTGATAACAAATTATTAAAAAAGTAAACGTAGGCCGTAGAAAGTAAAACTCTCTCGGATGAGTTATCCGTCGTACTCGTATTATTTATAATTGTTTCATAAATAATAGATATCGACCGATCCTTTTTCTAATTGATTTCTTTGCATCGCAGCCTATTACTCTGCGGTCGCGTATACGTCCAAGTAATAGGTAAGTTGCGCAGCTGTCTGTATTGTATTATTGATATAATATAGATTGTGTATACTGTATATTACACTCGCTTCTAAACCAGTATTTCATCAACCGTATCGATTGATTTGTTTGTACATACCTAACCACTCTACTGGCATTTATTTTTATACTTTCGCTGAAGTGTATGAACTCAAGGCTCAGGATAGTTATGCGAAAAGTTATCGTCAACTGGAAAAGAAATATTGCGACCGCAAAGAAAAATAGGTATATGGCGATGTTTAATTTCACTTTTCATCAAACTCTTCCATCGCCGCCGACTTGGTGGTCGCTAATTATTGGTGTTTCTTAAACACAATATATTATATTTTACAATGTATTGCGATTGACTAGGATAATATTATATGACCAGAGATTTTATAGTAAATAATATTTCGCCGAGATTTTGAATTCTATTTAATCATAATTTTTACTGAGTAAATCTACATATATTTTTTGTCTATTATATATGTAGTTAGGAAATTTCTTGGAAGGTTTAGTAGTATAATAGTTTTTATACAATCTTTTCTTTTATTTTTATTGTAAATAGTGATCATATTTAAAACCGTCGAAAACTCTATTTGTAAATGAACTCTAAGTTTAGATGGCACTAAGCCAGGAAAACTTTAAAATAAATATAATAAAAACACAAAAAAAAAGTTTTTACACAGGGTCCAAATTAGGAAAAATTAAAAGATTGTTGTGGTTGGTCAGGTTCGATGATCGCCTTTTTATAGTCCTTACAAAACTGTGCCGGCCAGATGAAATGCGGCCGTTTCTAATCTTGTATAGAAATCTTAATAATTGATAAGAGTGAAACAGATCCATTAGAGATGTACGCACTCGGTGATTCGTTTGCACGACCGCTATTCAGTGATCATTACAATATAATCGTGTACTACCGAGTGCGTCCGCAACGTGCAAATTAAATATCGTTTGAAATTTTTTATTCAATAAAAGCAAAGCAACGCAGGTTTAAAATGTTAATATTTTTACCTCCGGTGGATTTGAATGTAACAAAAAAAATAAATACCATGCAACAGTTGCATAGCGAAATTAAATTTGTGATCATTCTAGCGTTCTATTGAAAATTCATTATTTCAACTTTTCCAGTCAAAACAAGCAATTATTAAGTGATTTATTTACAACTACTATTACAAAACCTTTGAAAATTCGTAACAAAATGCAATATATTAATTAGAACACAGTAAACAGACCAAACACTCAAAATTTCGTAACGCCAGGAATGGAAAGGAGCAGAGAGGGATAAGGAGTGGGTGGGGGGGATAAGATTGGGAGGGGATGGCGGTAATAGGGAACCGATAATCCCCTTATAAACATGTCAAAATGTAAGAGTAAATTGAAATTTTTAAAGTTTGCAATATGGAAACTATAAAACATTTATAATATACATATAACAGCATGAATAGATATTTTGTATTTAATTATAAGCGGTTTGTCAAGCCAATAGGGGTGTAATACAGTTTTATCGTTTAATGTTATCTTTAGATTTTTAAAAATGGTTTTCTGTGTTATGAAAATTAAAATGTTAGACTTATAAATAAAATTTGAAAGAAAGCGTGTTAACATACAACATGACTTGCTTGGAGACTAAGTCAATTCGTTATGGTTTAATTTAACTAAAATCTATTAATTTATTAAAAGAATTTCCTATTATACGCAAACATTGTGTCAAGACAAACAAATTAAAGATTTACCTTGAACAATGTGATTACAATCTGTTTTTGTATAATAAATACTATACGTATAAGATAAATTAGGGGGTTTGGATGTTCTTAGCACCTTAAAAGTGTTTATGTTTCATACCATACTACTTGTGCGAATAAGACAATTTTCTTACATTTTCAGTAGCACCCCCACTTATTTTAGCGAAACCTGATTATATTTACCTTCTTAATGAACGTAGCAAATTTGTAATAACACAAATCGCTCTTATTTAAAAAATGGTTTTCTTTAAAATGTTTATTCTAAAATTGTATTTACATTTTTTTTTAAACTATAGGTTACTTTTAAATAGTATACTTTATATTGTATTATGATAAAGAAAGCTAAAGGATACAATACTTAGGTCACAAAAGCATGTGATGGTTTTTAAAAATATTAATTATATTTGTAATCAGTATTATAACAAATGTAGGTGACGTGTTTTATTAATATTCAATGTTACATTTTCATGTCTTTAATTTGTATTTCCTGGTAATATGGAATGTATGTATTATTCAATGAACTACATAATAAACTGCTATGACTATTTATTGTGAAAACTTGGAAACAAAACTAACATTAAAGACTAAAAGCAATTATGATTCATATGTAAAACTTGTGCAATCGCCCACCTATGATGTAGAATGCCTACATAACACTATCAGTACAGCTATTACAAAAATTAATTATTAGTAGGTTCCTAGGAAGTTGTATTAGTTTAATTAATTATATGTTTATTTATAACACGAAGTAATTACTAGTATGGTTGTTATAATTTAGCTGACGATATGTTCACACAAGTAAAAAATAAATTTCTAATAAAAATAATTAAATACCGTGATTAATCTTTTAAAAAATGTAATCTTCTCTTTAAAGTATTGTATTTGATATTACTGTACTAAATTTTTCTTAATTTCGAATTTTGGTATTAAAATTTGTTGGTATTTTGTTAACCTGTGATTAGAGAACAAAATAAAATTAGTATTCAAATCTAATATTTTATTATAAATGAAGTAGTCAAATACTTCACAGTTCACATGCTTCTGTCGAGTTGTCGGAATCAAATGATTTGTAATGTTTGAGGAATCACTAAATGTCTAATAATTCATTCAGCTTTCAATAACGTTCATGCAATCAAGCACTAATGTTATTGAATGAAAATATCAAATACATTTTTTTTTTTTTAATAATAAATCAATGGTTTTAATATGTTTTATTGCTGCTTTTATTTATGAAAGTTATTGTCAGCAGCTGAATATGTGTATACTCTCATTAATTATGAAACATTGTATATGTTCATAATGACTGTTAGTGATATATCTAGTAGTAGTTGAGTATCGACTTTTGGTTGTTTTTGATATTTAGTGAGAATTGAAACATTATCTATACATTCTCTGAGAAACTGAGAAATTATAAATTGGTCTAGACGTGATTAGTATTAATTACTAAAGTGAACGGTTACAAAAAACAAGTTTATTGGTTATTATATTTTGATGTTTACGGCTTCGGCTGAGTATTTAAGAAAACCTTAAAAACGTATTAAATATTTATGCTATGTCAGTAAGAGTTAGTATTTTTTTTTTAATCGACTTAACCAAGATAACAGACTAACCTAATTTTATCAATAATCAGACGACTTTTACACTACTGTTGTAGTGTTGGTGGCCTACAGCCGCGGGAAACTGATAGTCCGCTTAATTGGTTAACACATATAAGTTGTTTTTGAATTTATGGAATGTCGAATGGGTCAAACGACCGGTTGAAAAAAAAATAAAACTCTAACCGTTCTGGCATTTTATTATTTTTCGCTATGTGTATCTGTTTGTGTTGTTATAGCCCAAATCCGATTTTCACGGATTTATTAGCTTCGGGCTGACCAAACGCCACGTTCTATAGGGCGCGCACTAGAAACCAACACGACCGTGACCGAATGTGACAACAATTTTGTTACATTTTATTAATCCAGACCTAAGTCGATAATGATAGCAATAATAATTAATGGTAATGGTTTTTTTTGTTTTGCAGCCGACGGCGACTAAAACTCTCAACAACGGTGATGGCTCGGATATATATAGCAACGACAACGGTAGCAAACCAAGATTTATGGCCGTCACCCGACTTGAAGACGTGCAAGCGGTCCGGTGCGCTGAATTTCACCCCCACGGATCAGTGTATGCTGTGGGTTCCAACTCCAAGACATTGCGTATATGCGCTTATCCCAAAGTGACGGACATCAGGTCAGCACAAACACAAATAATCTTTTAATACTTAAATAATAATTACTAGTAAGTTTGTGAAGACTGCAGGTTGGTTCAGTACTTACTTACAGAATCTGGTCTCATATTTAATGAGTAAAAATCGAGTGGTCAATGCTTAGTTTAGGGAAATTAGGGTAAAAACTCAATAGCGTTTTCATTTGTTTGCTGTTAAAAGATTAGGTGAATCGTTAAGAGGTCTCGAAAGGTCTCTATTGTTAATGGGCTGTATTTTTTTAGCGCAATCTAAGTATAGCGCGAACATACTCTAGAAGTGGTACTTCTGTGAACTAGGGACTGAAATCGTTTCGTTTATGATAGACATCAAAAATTACCGGCTAAAAGAGTCGAAGAATGCAAAAACAAAAATTATGTTTAAAAACCGGTTCGAATAGAATTATATTGACCGAGAGCTAAGGTCTATACAGAAAATAAAACTTACTCGTCATGGTGAGTGAATGCCGTGTAGGCGACGGATATCATAATATAAAAAATACTCTTTAAAGTTGCGTAACGTTTGTTATGCATCGAGCTAAGAGCTTAGGTACCTTGTCCTCAAATTATTATTATTATTCGTGACATCGACGTTCTCTTAAGTTATCAAGCGAATAACATGAAAATTGTAATTGCGGGCTGACTTTCGTATTTTCTATGCGAATTTAAATAACCCTTGCATTTTTTATTTAACAAATATAGTGATTGAAAAATTATCTTCCTTAAATTTATTAAAATAAGAGATTTTTATTTTAAACGTTACTGATTTGCATCCTTTACATTTTTCAAGCATAATACAAGAACTGTGGAATTAAATCGACTAATAAAAGATTATTTTACGCAAATTATGTCGTTTAATTGCTGCATTAAACGTGTTAAATGACTTGCAATTAAAGCCGGTTACTGAGTTAACCCGCAATACTAAAAAAGTACCTAAAAATTAAGTCATATTAAAACGATTTAACATAAATATAATTTATATTTTTGCCTTGGCCGTCGTTATTGAAGGGTCGGACGTCGATTAGCTATAGGTGCCTCAAACAGTAACTTAATCTAACCCAATTTAAGAACACCAGATCTAACACTTAAATTGTACCCAAACTTTAATTTTCTCATTAATCGTATATTTTCACAGGATTTCCTATAAACTATAACTATATTTATGTATTTATAAATTTTATCAAGAAAGTAATTGTTTATATATAATATAATATAACATATAATATGTTTAAATCATCTTGTTCAGTCGTTTTCATGTTGATTAAATGCAACGTCCCGGAGTCAGTTCTAGCGTTTATTATGCTCACGCAGCTTACTATATTGTGTTCCTAACGTCTTTCTATCTCGCGAAGTAAGTAGTTACTCTTCACATCCGTCTAGACGTTTCTTGTTTATATTGACGGTTTTACACATAATTGCGTTCTGTTTGTCAGCATACTTCGTGCCGGGTATCATATATTATAGTAATAATATATATTTTTAAAAAATTACACGGAATGATATTCTCAACGGTCTTGTCGTGTACACTGATGTCCGCGTCAAAAACGTTTTGATGCATTATTTACTGTACGATTATATCCGATAAAGTCAACTCTTTTGCAACCGACCGAATCGCATATGACGCGTATTCAAGTGTGTCGGTGATATCTTTTTGCTATTTAGATTTTCATAATGTTATACGACCAATTCAACGGTGAACCAGTGTTAACGGTTTTTTTGGTGAATGTGTTGTTTCGTTTTTGGCGCGCAATTTTCTTATAAGTATATATGTATTCATTCGACCATTGCCTTTTACGCGAATAACACTTAAAGCCGGGGAATCGTACAATCCTTGTGGTCAACTACGGCTGGAATCTTTCGGTTTACCACTAATAGTTATAAAAACGTGTCGTTTTATACTCAGACGAACATTATAATAATTTGTTGACACGAATATTTTTGTAATACAAAAAGAAACTACCGTTCGATTGTCTTGTGGAATCCATGAATATTAAATGTATTTATCCATTTATACATGAATAGTTTATTGTTGTTGTTATACTGAGGCTGCATGAGGTCGTAGTCTTTTTGAAATTACTGTTTTGTTTAACTCATAGACTTCTACACTCCCCATCTACATATGTTATTACTACAATATAATATAATAGAGTAAGAATATTAACATACTAGTGGGCCCGTGCGAATACTCCGCAGTTGAACAACAGCGTTAATATAATAATAAAAATATAATCGTTAGAACCGCCGCCATGGTTGTTGCCAGTGCCGCCGTTGAGTTAAAAAAACGATTTCACTAAATGGTAAAAAAATCAACCGGTACAAATATCTAGTATTATACTTGACACACGAATACTATTTTTCAATCTTCAACTTAGATTTTTAACCAATTAATACAATGTGCAACTGTAAAGTAACGATTCGTCAGAACCGGGGAACTTAATCTTTAAAATGGTACCTCATTTATCAACTTTGCTTAAGTATAAAAGAAGAAAAGAGAAGTTACCAAAAAAGACCTTCAGATAATATATAATAAACTGAGGAAAATCGGGAAGAACGTGATAAGCAAATCGATGAAGTCGTGAAAAAATGCATCCCATGTATTAATTTTAAATATTTAAACCCTAAGTATTAGAATTATTTTTATTTTATACATATTAGTTTATGTCACTATTGTTTTATCTACGCGTAATACACGATCCAGCGATTTATGTTGTTATTTTCAAGTACTTTGGAAATATTTTAAGGATATATATCTGAAAGCTGTGTTATTTAATAGCGTTATATGTACATTACAAACGCTATACCAGTTATTTTTCAAATTTTAAATTTGGCCTCATATTCATTTTTAATTAAAGTTTAATACATTAACAATTTACATTAATGTTTGGTTATCGTATTGATGTATTAAAGTACTTCAATATAACTATATTGTTATTACTTATTAGCAAATCATTTTCGAAATAAGTTCTAACGTAGTCTAATTCGAATCCCGCGGGTATGAATTTCATTGTTGCAATGATGTACCATTTCTTAGAATCTGTGTGTTAATGTGTATTGTGAGTAAAGATATTAATATACGATCTAGTGGGATTATGATCTCTCCGGCGCGGCGTCTTACGCATTTGTACACGAGTCAAGACGCGGACTGATAATTCTGAAAGTCAACGCGCTTTTCTCGTATACCTTTATTATATTATACGTAAAGGTGTTCACACAACAACAGCATAATAATATAAGTTTCGTGACGGTTCGAACAACCATTTCGAGACGTTCAAAGAAATCTTACGTTGCATTACATACGCGATCGATTAATAGACAATTCGTCGTTTGCGGTTTATGGATAAGCCGTCGTAACCATGGTCGTTTACTCGGCCTGTTCAGTAATGAGCCGAGAAGAAAATTGTACTTTTGATATTGCTCCTTCAATGGTCAGCAACGTAGTGGTTTGTTACAATATTTTATACATATATATTTTTTTTTTTTGGTGCTTAGCCGCCGCAATTGAAAACCGAGTGAAAGCTATTACTGCTTACGTGCAATTCTAATGGCCGAATTTATAGTGATTTGTCTCTCTTCTCTTTTAGTGTAGCTTAGTTAGAGGGAAACCGCTGAGGTTTTATTTTGATTTACGGTGTTTGGAAAAAAATCTTTTACGCGATTTTTTTTTTTTGTTCACGGAGGATTCTCACGCGAAGCCATAATAGCAAAACAGTTCGTTTTGGTACTTCAATGGCTAACATAATACAAATTATTGGATTTAAATTAAACATACTCGATGGAAAACATAACACACTTTTTCCAGTTTTTATAGTCATCCAAGATTATCAAATATCCAAGCTCAAATATCCATCTTACTGTTGTTGTTGGAACTGGTTGTTTCCTCGAAAAATTGTAGAATTAATAGTAGGTACTTACTACTTGCTACTTGGTATCTATTATATATTATCTATCTTCATTTGTGCAGACTCCTTACACGCATACTACAGGATAATTGGTTTACTATGACCAATATCTTAGTGGATATTTGACTTTTTAAAATTATTCTTTTTTATACTTTTATAGTTAATAGTTAATAATTAGCCCAATTTTGATATAATTTTCAAAAAATAACCCAATTTCTAATGTGTTAAAACCTTAAACATTTTAAACAGTAATGCATATATTTTATTAACTTTTTAAATTAAAAATAATTTGCTGAAAATATCGACTGGTCAATAACCAGTTTGAATAATTACTATAAAAGTTGAAACTTTAAGACGGGAGGAAGGGTGAAGTGTAGTATTAGTGTTATCTTCGCGCGTTACTCAACCGCATTCCACCTCCCGTCCTACATTTTAAGCTTTGATAACTTTAAACTCAAATTTATGACTCAAAACTGGTTTTCGAATATAGCCAAATTGTTTAGCAAATTATTCTTAATTTAAAATGTTAGTAAAATATGTACGATACCATAAAAAACCCTTAAGTTAGGTTACGGTCTTAAAACAAAAGGTATAAGGTTATATTGTTGAAAAATATATCTAATTTGGGCTAATTGTGGAAGTATAAAAAATAATAATTTCAAAAAGTCTAATCTTTTTTTAAGATATTGACTGGGTCATAGTAATTAAACATTCTCATTATACAGTTAAAACACGATTATTGTACATTCTGTCCGAATTGCTTCACTCTAGGGATTACGGGTCCTTGGTTATCCTGAATCATTTCTAAGGTGAACGGATTACTATTTCCGTCGTCCTTTAATGTGCGTTTGAAATTTAAACGTTTAAAAAAGATAGTAGGTGTAGGTAGACATTATATTGTTTTGATATTTCGGCTTATGGTAAATTTAATCGGTACGTTACTATTTGATTGCCGTCAACCAGTGTTGTTGCACATCAGAGTGTGAGCCTTTTTGTGTACTATTAAACGAAAACGTCAAACAATATATTATATTAGCCACTATTATATTACTATTGTAAAACTAAAACCTTTTCAGTTTAAATCAAACCTAAAAACAAATAACGCGATTTTAAGTAATCCAATACGGCTATGTGTGGTGGGCGATCAATGGTGGCGGTAAAACTTAAGAAACGAGTAAAAGAATAAACAAAACCAGTTCGGCGGATGCCCGAGTGTAGAAGACCTGCGCACAGAAAGAGATCTATGGTTTTTTAGTTCTTCCGGTTTTTTAATGTCATTTCAAAAATAAAATTATACTTAAATGTCAAAGCGCGTTACGTGATCTTCCGGACCGGTTTAAGCCATAATATTTACCAACGCGTTGCGCAACCGTTATCGCAGAAAATGATTTACCTTCTATCGCTTTTATAACCCTTGGTCAAATATATAGGAGTTAATTATACAAAGTAAACTATCTTCTTGGCTTCGCATCGAAACTAAAACGTAATTTTCTTCCGGAGAATCCGTCGACCTGCGCCAGGATTCTTATTTCAATACCGGCTTTCACTAATCGTGTTTCGTGTTGTCGCGTAAAACGTGTATTTCAATAATAACTAATAATTGTGTAACATCGCAAAAGTCCTATACAATACCTACAATCTACATACCTCACACCAAACCATCAAAAGCCGAAGCATCATTAGCCGAAGAATGAGATAAACATTGAACGCGTCTGTTTTTGCTCTACTCGCTGCTTTCGTCAAATTTGCCGCGGATTTGGTGGCAGTCGTTCGTTTTTGGTCGTAATTAAATGCTGTTTGCATAAGAAAACGTGTGTGGACTGTGGTCTAAACCTCGAGCGTACCGAACTTGAGTAGATTTGACATTAATATTGTGCAATACACATAGTATTAAAACATCAATGATTTAATGCATTATAAAACATATCTAGTAGTAAAATATAATAATTATAGCAACAGTTTCCGCCTTTCGCGCGACTGTCAACGTTAATCACTCTGTTGGTTTTCTATGTTTTTTTAAAATTTTTTTTTTATAGAGAATCGATTTAATTCCGCCTTACATCGGTTTGTTAAAATAAAACGTAGGCAGTAGTAATTGAGATATTATAAAAATAATATAGACTTGTATAATCTCAATAATCGCCGTGACCCCAAGGCCCGTCGCTGCCAACATTAACTTTCACGTGGTACGCGGACCACACGAATTACAGACAACCTTTTTTATTAGAATATGGTTAAATGGCATTATTGATGAGAGTCGTGAACAGTATTGTATCAAGAGACGTTTATCAGGGCGGATATGTTTTATAAACAAAAATGTTATTTTCTCCCTAATTGAGATTTTTGCATAAAGTATGTTGGAACTACATTTACCTTATCTGGTGTGTCGTCAGAATTTCTGCTTTCCGTTCGGGTTTTAACGTTAAAATGAAAACTTTAATAGAGTTATTAGAAAGTAAAGACGGTATTCGGATGATTTATTGTTTTGCATAAATCTGTCACGTAACATATTCGCTTTGCCTTGATACATTGCAACGTACCTCGCATATTAATTTATTTAAAAAAGCCCTAAACGAGTTTGACTCGGGTGAACATGACAGGTGTATTTAATTATGTTTTGGGTATTCGTTGTAGGTTTAGACGAGATAAGTAAACTGTAGTTTTGTTCAATTCAAACAATGGATCGAATTAAATGTTTTTAATTTAATGTCAATTGCTTATGCTTTGGAAAAAAACTTTATGTTACTTAATATTTCAGAGAAAACCATGTGGCCCAACAACCGACGGTGTTGTTCAAACGTACCAGACACCACAAAGGTTCGATATACTGCATGGCATGGACACCCGACGGTTCGCTGATAGCTACCGGTAGCAATGACAAAACGGTCAAGTTGATGAAGTTCAATCCAGAGACTTCAAATCTGGAAGGCCAAGAAATCGAGCTGGCTATGCACGACGGTACCGTCAGGGACGTTTGCTTCATCGAGGACACCATCAACAGGAGCAGCTTGCTGATCAGCGGAGGTGCTGGCGACTGCAAGATATATGTGACCGACTGCGAAACCGCACAACCTTACCAGGCGCTTAGTGGCCATTCCGGTGTGTTGTTTGTTTTACCTAACTATTATAGCAGTAAGAGCACATAAAGTTGCACACAATAATGTTTCAACGGTGTATTATAATGCGCAGGGCACATACTGACGTTATACAATTGGGGAGGAGCCATGTTCGTAAGTGGAAGCAACGACAGAACAATCAGATTTTGGGACTTGCGAACGAGAGGATGTGTAAACGTAGTGACACCGATCACGTCGGCGACCAGTCGGGTAAGTTTAGTGCCGTGACTGACCCATGCGAAACGCTTGACTCAAAGTATAGTTTCAAACCCGAAATAAAGTGGCTAAACTAGTAATTCTTAGAATTGGATTCTAAATTCTTATGAATTGTTAATACAAATATCGTTCTGGTTTAGTGGTCGTTTTTAAAAAGGCAGTAAATAACCTACTTTGTCAGGGCCAAGCGTTACCACCAACAACACATGCATGTCCCTTAAACAACTAATTATCCTTATTTTACATTTACAGCAAGGTTCTCCGGTGGCTGCAGTTTGTGTAGAACCTTCAGGTCGTCTTTTGGTCAGCGGTCACGAGGACTCGGCTTGTGTTCTTTACGATATTCGAGGATCGAGGAGTTTGCAATGCTTTAAACCACACTCTGCCGATGTACGGTCGCTGCGCTTTTCGCCCAGTGCCTATTACTTATTGACGGGTGGATACGACAACAAACTGGTGCTCACCGATTTGCAAGGTAAATTTTAAATGTTCGCAAACAATATGTAATTTGGAAAATATGTTTGTGATTTCAGTTAGTTTATGAACATTATATTATAATTTGGTTACAGGCGACTTGACCACCACTTTACCAAGTGTTGTAGTGGCACAACATCAAGATAAAGTGATATCTGGCCGATGGCACCCGACAGACTTTTCATTTCTGAGCACCAGCGCTGACAAGACAACCACATTGTGGGCTTTGCCGCCGTACAAATAATTATTTACAATTAATCATAATCAACGATCTATGTATTATTATGCAATATACGCCAGCTTTTGAACACATGCTTATTACTGAACGATTTTTTTAAATTAAATATATTTAAAAACTAAATAACAATTATTTATTTTTGCTAACTTATTGAGCTAACAATTTATGATTTAACCGATAGTGTTATAAAATTTTACGATCTGTTTTATATATTTTATTATTATTATTAGTTAGATATATTATATTACTACTTACGTATATATTTGTTTGTTGCTTTTTTCTAATTCTACCAAATGTTTTTGTTAATTTTTTTAAAATTTTTTAATGTTTAATAATAAAATATGTGCCTAATTGTGCGCATTCAATATGCGTTAAAAATAAAAAAACAAGTGTGTAAGTACTTGTAATAAAATTACATTTGTTGCTTATACAAAATATAGTGTACAATATCATTTTTATTTTTTTAAATAGCCTTCTGGTTTATCATAAGTATTTAATGGTGAAACAATAGTTTTGTAAATTGTAGATTCATCATACATTGCTAAAATTGAAAAATTTTACATAAAAAAAACAATTTTTATGTTTACACTCACCAGATTGCGTAATTTTATTTATAGTTTAATAAACAATAAATAATATTATAAATATTAAGATATAAAATCTCGCTCGTATTGAATAATTACATCTTGTCCCTGAGATAAATTTATTATAGTTTCGATTCATAGATTGCCTAACTATTTTTAGGGGTTTTATATATAATAAAAATATTAAACTTCAAACATCACAATGATAACAGGTAAAATATAAATATCACAACTAATATATTCAAATAAATAAACTCCAAAATATGGCGATATATTTGATATTATGTGTAGACCTATCTTTAACGTTTTAAATGAAAAATCATTTAATTTTTCGCATTTAAACTAAAATATTGTTAAATTAAAAGGATGTCTTTGGATAATTTAATACTATTGTAATTAATAAAAAAACATAAGCTTAATTATTTCCGGACGATTACACCTTCATAAATCAGGAGTCATCAGCCAGTTTATCATTAAGTAAATTAAACTTCTTTGTTATAATTGTGTATAATTAAATTGTAGTGAATTAATTCTTAGTTGAGCTGTGACCAATGGAGTCATTTAGGAGATTGAAAACAATTTAGGTGGTGTTTTAGATCAAAATAAAGCCTTACTTAATTCGAACTTCAAGTACCTAGTATGGTCCAATTTCTATTCTGTGATAGTAGACTATATGGCCTCTTTATTATGTTTTTTTAAAATCAATTTTTGTTGCCCTTGTGCGTAAAATTTACGGTTGAATTTTTGGAATTTGTTATTAATTAACTAAAAGAAAACTAGATATTTGAATAATATAAATAGGTTTTCCACGAATTTATGTTTTATAGTTAGAAATTTATTAATTATCAAAACAATTATATAAAAAATTGAATATGTGAAAATTAATTTCCAAAGCTTTTAAATAAGTCTACCTTTCAAAAGTTGCTAAAAACAAAATCGATTTATCATCAAATATTGCATTTATATTAAAATAGAATCATAACTGCTTCCTTATACATACAAAATTGATAGCAATGGATTACAAAATTAAAAAAATGCACTTCGTAGTTTTTAGGTACTATAGTTACTATAGTATTTTATTACTTTATACTTTAGTATACTGGATGTTATGCTTAATAGTCTGTTGTCATTTGTATTAAATAACAAGACTTGCGAAGGAGCAGAGGGTTTTTAAATATTCTCCAATATACATTTTATGCTTTGGAATGACTTATGATTTAAAGGAATCAAGTGAAAATGCACCTACTTAAAGTCCAAGAGGTATAAATTGATAACTGTTGGTCATTTTTTAAAAGATACAAACCATGACTTGAAATAATAAAACAACACACAGTAAAAAGTTAAAACAAAATGATATTTTTATAATATAAAAAATTTCAATTTCAAAACAATGTTTAAAAAAAAATGATAATTGATTTTGATTGAAACTGGAACTCAACAATCTATACTTAGTATACTATTCTAAAAAAATATATAAATACAAAGTTTAGTGTTAGATTTTGGTACAAATAAAAAAATATTATAGTAATATAATAATAATAATGCATTCAGCCATCATTATTGTAATACAAATTAATTTTTTTATAAAAGAAAACTCTTACCAATAGTAACTGTTATTAATATCTCAAGTCTTTATATATTGTTTTTAAGTGTATAAGGCACTTTTAACATCACATTATATTATTTATTAATTCATATTTTTTCTGATCAGATAATATTTAAATTGGCTAATATAAAAAAAGCATGACACCCTGTAAAATCAGTTCTTTGATACACCTAATTACTTTGATACAATATAAATATTAAATCGAGTAAACTCAATTGACCTTACTCTACTACTTTTCAATAAACAAATATTTAAAAAAGAAAGGAAAATGCAATAATAAAATTACCTAAATATAATTATATTCAAAAATGTTTTTTCTAGTATACTCAAAAAGTAAACTTAAATAAACTCAAAAGTACATGCATCCTCCACATATCTACTAGGTAATAAACGTGCGAAAATTGTTGTAAAAATTAAATTATGTTGTAATATTTTACAAAGATGAATTTTAAAATATTGTTTTCGTTATATGCTAATAAATAGTTTTACATTTTTAAAAATCAATAAATATAAACAATGATTATAAATAATTGTATTATAAATTATCTTACCAATGTTGTAAGCCAAAACAAAATTTGAACAATAAGTGTTTTAAAAACGAATGTCGAGGTGATGATGGCAAAATGATGAATTTGTTGAGCTGGATTAATAAACTCCCTCATTTAAGTTATGTTTAAGCTTATGGTTTTAAACCATTTGTTACTGTTTAGCACTTAGGTAATTATAATACAAATTCAAAGTTTTGTCAGCGATAGTGGTACTGGATTCATTTATAAAACACATACAGTAAACATAATTTATAGATTCTCTGCAGCTAGATACATGATTAAATTATAATATGCAAATGACATTTGTTTTTAAAAATGGTCAGAAATTTAGTTTAAATGAAAAATACGTTAAAATGTTGATAGTTAAAACAAAAATACAATATTGAAAATGTTAAGTGAGAGAACGTTACGTCTATTTTTAGGATAGATTAAGCAAGAAAAGTCGAAAGAGATCTTTTATATAGAAGTATTAGGCGTGGTCTAAATTTTCTTTTAATACAATAATAATCAGTTTTGGAACAAACTTCATTACCGGAAAACACGGTTCTATCTTGTACCACTAATATTAATAACAATAAATATCTTAAATTAACCTCAAAAAAAAGGTATACTTATCTAACCGTTATAAACTAAGCTATAGTAATTATAGATTTCAATTGTGTTTTGTAAAAAAAAAAAAAATAATAATAATATAATAATAACAATGAAGTTTCCCATAGAGCGTCTACAAGAAATTATATGTGTGGATGAATCCGGTAACTATTGATTTCCTTTGGGAATAATAATAAAATGAACCTATTTGTGGTTGATTTGTAAGCCGGACTGTTATTTACAGTTTTACCGACAGCCTTTGCGCTGTGGTAGTATCTGAAGTAGTAGTCGTAACCTGTTGTCCCTTGTTGGGCGGTAGTGTATCGGAAGCAACGCTACCCGAATGGCTGTTGCGGCTATACCAATCGGCCACGATGCCGCTTTCGGTCGACTGGCTGGAACACTGGCTAGTTTGTCGAGCGCCTTCGCTGCTACGACAGCTCGCACTGCTGCTGCCGCCACTGCTGTTGCTACTCGAGCTGCTGCCACTCATTGAAATTATTGAGTGTGGCCGCTTGGTGTTGGGTTCTATGTCCGAAGGTAAAGCCACTATGGAGTTACGGAATCTTGGGGCAGCTGAAAAAAATATCACTTATTAACAACTTTCAGTTTAAAAATTTAGCAATAATTGAAATTCAAGTAAAACAATAATGTATTATGCGTACTTTTACTGAGCTGCGCAAAGGTAATGGATCGGTCATTGATCTGATCCGCACTTGGTCGGATGTCTAAACACGGTTTGTTGCCAATACCCATCGAAGACATCTCCGCCAGCCTTACCTCTATAAACAACAAATACAACCGACTTTAACAATGATTACAGGACATACAATTTGGTTTATTCACTATGAAATTTGACACTTTTCTTACCTCTATTTCTGAGCGCTTGTTTCCACAATAGGTTGGACAACTCGTCGGTCCAGGCTTGCTTAATGTCTTCGGACATAGACACTAACGTATAGGTGTCACCCGGTTTGCGTTTGCGGAACCATATTTCGAACTTGGTGTTGCTGTCGCCGACTTTTGCGGTAAACCCGATATCGCTTGTTTTTATACTGTTCTTATACACGTACAAGTCCAGATTCTAAATTTTTTAAAATAACACATAGCTATTAGATATATTTATATTATTTATGCGATAATAATTGTTGTACAGACGTTCAAAAAACACTAACCGTTTGGTCGGGGAATCTCCTGGCTTTACTGAACAGTATGAGTTCTTCAAACAGGAACACCTGTCTCAGGCACTTTTTCCCTTTGCCCTGCCACACTAGGAACTCGTTCTGTCTCAAAAGCCGCCCCTGTTCCTTCAAGTTGACGTCGCATTCTCGTAGCGAGTCCATGGCCAGTAGATCGTTACCGTGCCGCAACTGGAACCTGACCATACTCTCGGCTTGCCGTAGGTACTCCGTTTCGCCTTTGGCCATTTTCATCAGCTGTTGCAAAAGCAACGCGTACTTGCCCATCCTCTGCACGGGTTTTAGTAGGTAGCTGGCCAAGTCCATCCGATCGCGAAGTTCGTTTTGTTTTGCCTGATTAAACACGATCGCTTAAGTAAGACGCTAGTGTTAAAGACAAAAGACCACCATTTGAACTTACTTTAAAGAATGCAGAACCGTATTCGGACATCAGTGAATCGGAATTGGGTTTATTTTTGTTGTACAACGCGTACAAGTAGAATTTTTTTTCCTGTAAAAATAGCAAATATTTGTCACCGAATTCTAATGGTTTTTTTTTTCAATTTTAAAATAGTGCTATCCGGTAAGGTTACTCACGTGTTTTAGAAAAGATTCTCCCACTTGCAGCGGGCAGTTCTCGTGTCTCTCCAACTCCTTTAGGAAATGCTGACTGTGAAATTCATAGATCTTCTCGATGTTACCGAAAATCACGTTGCGTTGACCGCGTAGCGCTTGTGGGATGTTTTCTTTCAGCAGCATCGGTATGTAGTTCTCTATGACGTACTCAAGGGATTTGACGTAATCGCGTTCCGTCTGTATCATCTCCCTCATGATCAACTTCACGGTCCTGTAAGAGCATTCAGTTGTTAAATTAACAATATAAAACACCAACGATATTCCTTGTATTATTTTTCCAACTTACTTTTGTAATTTTAAAGTCTGCGTACCGCAATCCATGTTTAACTGTAAGTTGGACATGTGGTGCAGATGACTGTTAACGGATAGGGGAGGTAAACTCTGGTTTGTGTTGCATCCGGGATCCGGACAATTGGCTTCGTCGATTTCTTCATTGCTGTAATAACACAATTCGTGTTAGACATTTGAGATGACACGAAACAATAATAATGAAAAGCGACGAACGCGTTTCGTTTTTATATTTTCTAGACCATAATCTTAATTTTTATGTGTGCCCGTGGTCATTGGTGACGATGAATAATTTATCGGCGAAACTAGTTTGGTCATCTAAAAAACCTCAAGTGAAATTATATATACCTTTTATTTTCATCGCTTCCTTCGGTCGTATGGGAACAGCTCAGTTTCTCCTCATCTTCTTCGTCATTGTAAGTCCAATTCGCGGACGGGATGTGGCTGAGCGCCAAACGGTCGGTCTCACAAAAACAGTTCTCTTCGGCAACTCCCGTCCAACCGCACTGATGGCTGTCCACCGGGGTCGTGTTACCGTTGGACGGTATACGTGGTTCGGGGGCAGAAGTCCTTCGGGACGGCAGTGGAGTGCTGGTGGGAAACGTTTCCGGACCTAACAGGTGCTTGAGTTGGTCGTTAGTCTCTTCGCATCTTACCATAGCCACCTGTTGTCAATTAAAACGCCGATTAGGTTTAAAATGGATTTAAAAAAAAAGGAATATTCGTTTGTTTCAGTATTGTTACAATACCTTGCACTGTTTGATCAGTTTATCGTTGTTGAGCTTGTTGGCTAACACCATCATCTCCGAAAAATGTTGAGCGGTCGGAGACGGATGTGCCATTAAATACCTTCGAAGTTCTTTGACGTTACGTGTGTCGTGCTTTTCAGATATGTATTTCATACATTCCAAAGCCCAATCGTACGCCTATAAAAAAAATAATTAATAGTAATAAAGAAGTGTAAACAAACAATTTTGTTTTAATTTGATACGCGTTCATTTTTACTTAGTTCTTTATTTTTTCGGCTTAATCATACCTACATAAATATGTATCCACATATTATGAAATTAAACTTACACACAGACTGGTATTACATGTAAAGTTCATATTTTTTTTATAATATTTTAACTTTTCCGGCCTTTTTAAATTGAAAGATCTTTTGTTTTTTTAAGATGATTATTTAGGATATAAAGTGGAGGGGGCTATGTTATACATACGACAAGCCGAGGACCGAGTAGCTATCGAAAAATGTCTTATACTTTAAATTCACTGCACCAATAGGTTGGCTAGAAAAATGTTACTTTCATAAATATTCATTAGAAATAACTACCTAATAACTTTGTATAGGATTTTCTCTGGTTTAACAATATCAAATTGAACTGGTTTTGCTATAATTATATTGTTGTTTATTTATATTAGCTGCCCCACAACTTACTTTGAATAGTTAAAAAATAAGACATACTTTTCCTAAACAACGAAAGAGAAATCTAAAAATTGTTACATAAACATTAGACTTAATTTAAATATGATTATACCTACTAAAACTATACTAAATACAAAACGGTGAAAAACTATTATAATTTATGATAAAACAAATAATTCCCTTTTTAAAACCTTATATTTATCTGGTATTTTTAAAAACTTTTAAATAGTAATCAAACTCTAGCTAGTAATTTGCATTTTGATCAAACTATTGTCAACGGGTTAGGATCTGACTTAAAAAATATTTACTGTTGATTTGTTTATTATGCTGTACATAGCTACTATACTTATAGTAGCTAATCTTAACCAGCTCTTACTTATGGCTATGAGGCCTCGACTTTGACTAAACAGGCAGAGAAAAGTTTGAAAACTTTTGAAAATAAGGTATGGAGGAAAATCTTTGAACTACTATCGATGGAGTGACTGGGACTGGTGAATGAATTTCAACAGAGAGCTGCACGATATGGTATAGTTAACGCCAGTCACAAGCTTCATTAAGGGACAAAGGGTACAATGGTTAAGTCACATAACGAGTAGAGGAGAAAATAAAATAGTAAGGGCAGCAGTATATAAGAAACCCCAAGGTAGATGACTTTGAGACAGTCCCAGGATGGACATGGTAGAAGATTTATAGTTTGGAGAGTCGAAAACTGAAGAGAGATAGTTCATGATTAGGCAAAGTGTAGTTATGGCGGCAAAACCTCTTAGAGCCAGTGAAAGAAGAAGAACAGTGTTTTATTTATTATGATTTTTGTGTGTATAAACAGTCTCAATGTCAAATGCAGTGGTAATAAAGTTTTGATATACTACTTAGCAAAAGTAACAACTCTTAAATGGAAAAAAATAATTCGATATTTTTAAAAGTATCTCGCCTCCGTTTTGTACGTTGAAAAGCCGTATCTGGAATATTATTAAACACAAATATCCAATATAATTAGCTGGATTTATGGTCTTTAAATAATATTATATTGTAGCTATCTTAAAAATGTAATTAATCACAACGCGATTTTAAAAAACCTTCATTTATCATACTAGGACATGCAATATCACTCTGTGCATATCTACTTAACAATAAAATATATCTGGTATGAGGCTCTTATGAGTAACCATTAGCATTCATAAATTATAAGCCAGATATTCACTAAATATATAAACCAAAATATGCATGTAATAATAACACGAATATCTGTACCTTATCAAGCAAGTAAAAACAACGTGACGTATCTTCGAGTCTTTCGCGTGTTTCTTCTAATCGGTCGCTGAAACCTCTCAAATGCTGTTTTAGTGATTTAGCCAAATCTTTTAGACTGGCGCCTCCACTGCATTGGCCGGCCTCTTCCAGAAGATCTCCGGCTTTGTCGAGATTTTGCTGTAAACAAATAGACATCTGGTTATAAGAAACAATTTTTCTCAATAATTATAAATTTGACATTGTATAGATAATAAATATTTTGAAAAAAAGTTTGCTTGAAAACATCAAAAGTAAATATTTAAAAAAAATGTAATGTTTATAAGAGATTAATTTTTGAACAACATTAAGTGTATTTACTATTTCATTTCATGAAACCAACGTTTTATCACAAGTACACAATATTTAAACATTAAGTGAAGTATAATATATTTATTTCAAGGTCATGTTTGCGAGACAGATCGAAAAGTAATTTGTCTATTACAACAATGAACATACAACAATTTTGAATTAAGTTATTGAACAAACTACAAATAATATTATTTATTTGAACTGCAAAAATGTTTTTAAATAAAAATGTAAAATTCTTGGATTCCGACCATAAGTTTGAAAATGATAAATAGGTGTTGTGTAGAACCAATTAAGTATTGTAATAAAATATAAACTTAAAAAAATAGAATAGTACAGTACTTTTATGAACGATATTAGAAGTACATTAGAATACATTTTAATTCGAGTAAACACTTTGTAATCGGCAAATGCGCGGCGCAGCAACAAAAAAACACACAGACTATAATTTGTTTTATGTATATGTATATATTTATACATAAGATTATATATGCTTATAAGTAATTTTTAAAAATTAAATGAAAATGATAACTTTTATTATTGACAATTAACACACTCGAGACTTGTGTAGTGACAGTTGTATTGTAAGCCTGGTTCTGCGACAAAAATTATCAATATGGATATTTACAATAATACATGCGCAAAGTAATACCAGCGGGCAATTACCTATTGCCCCGAAACCGTTTACGAAATTCGATAGACCTAAGCGTTAGATAGGTATGTCTATTTCAATAAATTTCAGCAATGTTTGTAAACATGCGGTTGTGTGCAACAAAGTGAAGAAGAATTTAGATAATATTGAGAAAAACGGCTATAACAGATGTTGAACGCAAAAGTAAGTTGAACACACCAAGTTCGCAATCGTGGTTTTCAGACAATTTTACGCTACTTGTTGCTATTTATTCTAACTTAATTAATTTTAGTAAACTATAGGCTGTTTTCGTGTTGGGCATAATACGAGGATTGAAATTCACACCAAGTACTACTACAATTAACATTATTTCTACATCGTTGGCGATTACCGGAGGCCTCCGATAAATACACGCAACACCGTCAATGGTATTTGATAATTCCAAAAAGGAAATAGTCGGACCATCAATGCCGTCCAGTGGCTAGCGCCTAGCGGTTGCGCCAGAGTGACGACTTCGTGGTACCTCGTTCTCGAGGCAATTATAAAATTATTATGTTTTTTTAATCCACAAACTTCAAGAGAACGCAATCCGTCATGAAACTGTCGTTTTTAGAATCTGTTAACTCGTTAGTGCCGACCTATTTGTGCCGCGTATAAAGTCGACATAGAGCTTTTTTTTGTGTAGATTTTTGACAATAAAAATCGTTCAGATTGCTTTAAGCAGCAACCGGTGTGCGTTCTATATCCAACTCAAATCGCTCATCACGGACCTCTCGTGCCGTATTTATAAACATTCAAGAACATCCCAACAATGTATATATTATGTTCAGCTACACGCGAAGTCCGCATGTAAAGAGATGAATAATAATAACAACAATACAAAATTAGAAAGACAGTTACGTGAGTTAATTCGAAAGAACAAAAAGAAGAATACTTATCAATTAATTTACAATATTTTGTAATCTAATCTAAACACAGGAAAAGAAACACTTTACGTGTAATCACCAGCCGAGAGAACATTATAAAAGATTTGTCTATTATTTACAAAACGAATATCGCTTAAATTATTTTACTGTACACAATGTTTACCCAAGTTATGTTACAACCGCGAGCATTATTTTCACTTTAGTTCTCCCGGACTCTCGCCTTGACGACCTGAGAAAATTGCCGATTATTACAATCTGTCATAGTAAACAGGTTGTACAATATAATTACGGGATATTATTACAGCACTGTTGAGCCGAGAATGTCGAGCACAAACCACAAAACAAGATGGAAACATCAGTCGAACGACCGTTAGAACGGTGTTAACACGTCAAAAAACGCACTGTTTAAAATAAGTCTAAAACCTTTAGAACGATATTTGGTTAGTTATTAGGCGTACGTTTGCATTTCCGAAACGTACTTTGGAAAGAAAAATACATTTTGACCACCTAGCATTTTTAAAAAAAAAATACAATAAAAATATAGTTGTGCTATAACTGGAATATGGATTTTGGCTGAAACCACTTTAAAAAAAAAAAATTACACGTGTAATAACAAAATAACACAACGCTTCATATGTTGTAATCATGAGCTCTTGGATAAAACGGTTGTTGTTTGGTTCCGTGTTGCCTGCAGTAATTGTGTTGGTACTGATTGGGGTCCACCGTTTCCGAAGGCAGAGGGTCGCGGAACGTGCCAGGCGGTCTGTAGCTCCGGTTGTACACGGTGCAATCTTCGACGGGCCCGTCGGCCCGGCAGTACGACGGCTTTTCGGTAAGCGCGGGAATAACGCGCAGGGCTTCGGGCCACGGCTTGTAACTAGCCCGGGTCACCGTTTCGGCGTCCATCCGATCGGTGGGCGGCACGTAGCACGCTGAAGGCCGGACGAACGTGACGGGACGCTGGCCGCCCGGCTGCGGCTTGTACGACATGCTTGTCGTCGTCACGGCGTCCATGGGACATCGCGGCTCGTCAATCGTTTTTGTCAATCGTTTTAGCGGCGGCTGTGCCGTCTTGACCACGTAATCGTGCCGCTGTGACGTAATACCCTGCATGGGTCCGACGCCGCTCAGATCGTGGTCGACCGGTATCTGTGGACGCGGCCGCTCTGTGTCAGGCCACTTTTGAAAACTGGTCCTGTGCACGGTCTGGTCATCGAAATCACCGGCCGACGTCAAGGCAGTGGTGGCCGGCCGCACCTTTTTGTTAACCGGCAAATCCACAGGTTTATACGACTGCCTGTTGGATTTTCACAACTTTCGTTTAACTAACAAGTCATTTTAAACAAAATATAATTATTGTGTTTACGACATAATCGTAATGATATAAAATATCATTACGATAAGTGTGTAATCAACCCAACCTGTCGTCACCGTGACTAGTATTTAATTTTTTAAAGTATTAATATTTCTGTTATTATAAGAGGAAAATTAGTATATTATACGAAGGCAAAGATCTCATCCAACCGGTCAGAGCAATTAAACCGTAGATCGACTGGGATGTGTGAATTGCCCTAATAATTAGTCTTAAAGTTATCATTATAATATGTTCTGTTCGGTTGAATTACTAGGCAGCACATAAATTACCACATAAGCACATATAATATATTCACCATCGTTATTCTAGATCACAAATTACCAATTATATAATGCATTCGAAGTTCAATACGGCACAGTCAAAACATTACAGAGAATAGAAAACTATTAGCTCATTAGAAATAACGAATATATTATTCTCAATGTAATTAAAAACTGCATAACTACGTAGTTTTGAAAATAACGCGTTATTTTGACGAAAACGAGATGGTCGTTTATTATCGGAAATTAGCTATAATGTATAAATAACAAAAAAAATACAGCTAAATTTAATTTGGGTGTATTTTAAAATTAAGTTCAAAATAATCAACAAAGATTGGAATATATTTTAAATTATTGTTCTATGACAGTTTTCTATGCAGAAAAAATGAATTTTGTTAGTTTTTATAAGTTTTGCGCGTTTATAAAAAATCTAAATTAGGTCAAAACGACAAAATTTAGATTAAAAAAAATTGAAATGAATAACTACTGTTTTAAACAAACATTTTAGTCACGTCAGAGAGGAGACAATGCATTCTACCATTAGAATGCTAAACCCATGTTTAGTGTAGAAAAGTGTTAATGAATGAGTTCTGAGAAATGTATTCTGGCGTTTTAAATATAATGATAGCATAAAAAATGGGGAACTAAAATAAAATTAATAATTGAACAGCTGAGTAACTGAAGGGTAATATTCCTCGACGCCCAATTTTCGGAAAATTATAGAAAACTGTTTGTTTTCTATATAATTCATATAGGAATTAAACAATTCCTGCTATAATTTATAAATTAAGTTTTAATGGAATATTATCCTTTATATACGCTCAAAATATTTCAGTTAAAAATGAATATTTCTGTTAATTTTTCGAATTTTATCTCTTTTCCTCTCAGCTGTGCAATAATTACTATTAGTTAGAACCAAATGTTAGATGTTTCTGTTCGAAGCTAACGCATTTAACCGGTTTTAACGCGGGAAACTTGATATTTTATTTCAATTCTAGGTTTGAAATCTATATTCGTGGCCTTAATGGTTTTCTAACAACCGAAGTTTACGATAAAGTCAGACCATCAAAATTGAAAACATATTGGAAAGAACATAATGTTGTTTACATATTAATGTTAAGTTCTGAAAATATCCCAGTAAATTTTCAACTAATTCACACTTACTGAACGATTTTGTAAATTTTAGGGCACCTAAAAAATGTATGGTTTTTACGAAATAGCAACGCGTCGGGTGTATAGTTGGCCATTTAAAACGACTACATTTAACGAGACTACAGATTAACGCACCAAAACGATTTAAAATACGTTAGTTATTTTATAAAAATGTTGGTGATGAACGATTTGATAGTGGAATCTGTGACCGATAACCTCACCGACCAGTTTGTCTAGTTTATGTGACCGCATACACATCAGGTCCGGTTTAAAATCGTCACCGCACAATCAGTATGTATTGTGTGTACCATCCTCTAGGTATGCCTATGCCAGTATACTAATCGATCGTGACCAGCATGGATTTCATTAATTTGTTTTATATTTGAGAAGCGCAGAGCCGAATTTTTAGTTTGGGGACGTGCCTATAAACCGTATGTTTTTCCACTGGGCCGTTTTGCGGACAATAGTTCACAGTCGGTCGAAACGTT